GGACCATAAAGAAAACTGAGCACCAAAGAATTGATGCTTTTGAACTGTGGTGTTGGAGAAGACTCTTGAGAGTCCCTTGGACTGCAAGGACATCCAACCAGTCCATCCTAAAGGAGATCAGTCCTGAATATTCATTGGAAGGACTGATGCTGAAGCTAAAGCTCCAGTACTTTGGCCACTTGATGCAAAGAACTGAGTCATTAGAAAAGACCTGGATGCTCGGAAAGATTGAAGGCAGCAGGAGAAGGGGACAACAGAGCATGAGGTGGTTGGATGGCATCACCGACTTGATGGACCTGAGCTTGAGCGAACTCTGGGAGTTGGTGATGGACAGGGAAGCCTGGCATGCTGCAGTCCATGGGGTCACAAAGAGTCAGACACTACTGAGTGACTGAACTTATTGATAACCTTATGCATACCCAGTAAGATAACCCCAAAATATATAAAGCAGAAAATTATTTAATGAAACAAACTGACAAACCAACACATACACACCTTTTTCTGATGCTGCTAAGCCAGTCAGTCTATTTGAATTTATATTCATAAAGTATTAGTCTGTGGTCTAGCTTTAGAAAAGCTAAAATTTCATCACCCAAATTAAAGGGGAAAAATTATGAAATTGTTTTAGTAGATTGCTTTTGATAAAATTCAGTACATTTATGAACTAAAGGTAATGCAAATTAAGACTAGAGAAGAATTTCTTTAATCTGATGAAAAGAATCCACAAAACATTTTTATCAAAGATAATTCTTAATGGGAGAAGTATTTTAAATAATTCTTTGAAGTCAGGAAAAAGAATGTCCACCATTACCCCTTCTTCTCAGCATTGTACTTAAAGTTCTAGCATAAGTATTAGGAAGAAAAAAACATGTTATTCAGAAATGATGTGATTATCTGCATAGCAAACCTAAAAGAATCTACACACAAATTTTTAGAAGTAACAATGTGTTATCAAGGTAGTTGCCTGTAAAGTCAATAAATAAAAATACGTTACATTTCCATACAGCAGCAATAAATATTAGAAAACATAATTTTAACACGTATTTACTTTGTTACAAAAATATTAAGTTCCCCCCCAAAAAATAATTTATATAAAATTCCCAGCACTAAATCTAACCAGAAAGTCGTAAGACCTATGTGCAGAAAGTGATAAAACTTTACTGAAAGACATTTTAAAAGACCTAAATAAACAGAAGGGTATGTAATGTTCATGGATAACAAGATACATACCATAAACATATCACTTTTCTACAATTTGATTTATAGAGTCAATACTGTTAGACTCAAAATAACAGTGGTTTTTTTTTTTTATGGCTCTTGAATAGTAGATCTTTACATTTATATGGAAGGGTAAAAAATAGATATGACATTCATGAAAAGAAGAATAAGGTTGTGAGAATTGCCTTTTGTGAAAAACTAAAATAAAACATTATGCCATTTGCTCAAGGAATAAACAAAAGTAACAAAGGTGAATAAAAGCCTGTAGCCTATACAGTCTCTAGCTTACAAGAGCTATGCAAGAGCAATGGGGAGGTGAGGGCTATTCAGGAAGCTTTCTAGGGCAGTTACTTAATTTCAGTTGGCCCCTCACATCCTACACAAAAAATGAATTCCACATGAATTAAGGACTCAAGCATCAAAAACAAAACTTTAAAAATTAAAATATGAGAGATGATCTTTCTGGCCTTGAAGAACAAAAAGCTTTCTTGAAGAAGATTATAAAAGCACAGGCCAGAGAAGAGAATGTTAATAAGTTCAACTACATTAAAGTTTGAAATGTTTTAATTAAAGACATTTTTTTAAATTAAAAAGAAGCGAGAGTAAGGAAAATTCATGTAACACACTTAGCTTATAAGGATTAATATGCAGAGCATGGAAATAAAGTGATGGGAAAGATAAATAAGATAGAAAAAAGGTATAGAAAAGATATTAACAGACATTTGACAGAAAACAATTAAGACCAATGTGTTTATGACCAATAAAGAAGAAACAGTTCTCAATCTCACTAACAGTCAGGAAATACAAATTAAGGCTACAGTAAGATACCGTTTCACCCCCACTGATAATACTAAGAGTTAGAAAGGCTAGAAAGCAGGAGGCACTTTTAAACATTGCTGGTAGGACTGACTTGTCGTAACACCTTTAGGAAGCAATTTGGCTTTCTCTGGACATTTGCATATCCTGTGATATAGCAGTTCCACTCCCATGTATATAGACTAGAGAAACTCTTTGCACATGTATTGACAACAGGAAGTAACTCAACCCCCTCCCCCCATTTACAGAAAATGGATAAACACATTATGGTATATTCACTTAATGGACATTTAATTGTGTATAAAGGGAATTGAATGAACTAAGAACTACATTCAGCAACATGGCATGCAAACCCCCAAGTCCCAGAAGACTGCTTACAGTATGATACCATTTTTATAATGCACAGGAAGTAAATTAAGCATTGTATTGTTGGGGTAAATGTGTGTGTGTGTGTGATAGAACAGTGTTTAAAAGGAGCAGTGGGATAACAAACAGAACACTTGGGATAATGTGTGCCTCTGGAGCAAAGACAGGAGGACCGCACAGTGAAAAGAACACACAGGTAGGTGCACCCCCACCACCATTTACAGAAAACGGACACAGTATAGTGTAGACATTTAATTGTGCAGAAAGGAAATTGAATGAACTAAAAACTACATTCAGCCTCATGGGTGAATCTTAGGAGGGTAGTAGTTTCTGGGATATTCATTATTTTATGCTTTACAGCATTAAGTGTACATTTTATATAATTACATATTATCCATGTATATATATATGTTTATAACACACAGATATAAGGTGCGTCAGATATTGGCAGTAAGTGTGTTAGTCACTCAGTCGTGTCCGGCTCTTTGTGACCCCATGGACTGTAGCCCGCCAGGCTCCTCTGTCCATGGAATTTTTCAGGCAAGAATATTGGAGTGGGTTGCCATCTCCTACTCCAGGTATATTCTTTGGAATGTGTCAGATATTGGCAGTAAAGAAAGGTAATTTTATTTTCTTTAAAAAAAAAAAAGAACCCTTTGATAAGCCAGTCAGAAGGATCTAGTCATTAAGAACAAGGGATACATCCGGCTAGCTTCAGAGTTGTGTGCAGCCCCACTCACGCCAAGAAGCAGTGCCAGCAGATTATTCAAGGAAAGAACGGGCCATGGTTATATCCAGCCAGCTGTGTTTCAGGCATAAACGCTACAGACACAAAGTTCTGAACGTATACGATTGTATTAGTTTGTTAGGGCTGCCATAACAATACTGCCGGCAGGATGACTTAAACAACAGAAATGTATTCTCTCAGGGCTGGAGGCTACAAGTTGAGCATCCGGGTACCAGCAGGGTGGTTTTCCTCTGAGGCCTCTCCTTGGCTTGCAGCTGGCTACCCTCTAGGCAGCTGTTCAAGGGCTCATCATCTGCACAGAGGACACTGATGTGTCTCTTTCTCTTCTATAAATCCACTTACATTAGATTTTGTTGTTTAGTCACTAAGTCGTGTCCGACTCTTTTGCTACCCCATGGACTGTAGCCCACCAGGCTCCCTGTCCATGGGATTTCCCAGGCAAGATACTGGAGTGGGTTGCCATTTCCTCCTCCAGGGGATCTTCCCAACCCAGGGATCGAACACGCATCTCCTGCATTGCAGGTGAATTCTTTCCTGCTGAGCCGCCTGGAAAGCTGGTTATATTAGATTAGGGCCCCACAATAATGACCTTATTTTTAACTTAGTCTGCCCTCTAAAGACTATTTCTAAATACAGTTACATTCTGAGATACTGGGGATTGAGACTTTAACATATGACTCTGGAGAGACACAATTCACCCCATGACAACAATCTCAGAGAATAATTTTCCTATCAACCCTTCTTAAGAAAACTATTAGAAGATAAACTTTAGCCAACCAAGAGATGACTAGGGCAGCCACACAGAACTAATGTCAGTGATCAAGGAATATATTTACATGTAGAACCAACACAAAAAGAAGGCAGGAAATAGTATTCCAATCACCCTATGTGCCCCGCCAATGAAAAATGATAGAATTACAAAAAAAAGAAAAGATTGAAAGGACAAAGTAAGAAGGAAGCAGAGTAAGTTTTCCAGTTACCTCAACCAGAATGGCTGGGAGTTGGAAACATCCATCAAAAGGGGTAAATGAAACAGGGAAATTAAAAATTAGATGTAGATTAACCCAATATTGGGCCTACATTACGGGCTTCCCAGGTGGCGCAGTGGTGAAGAGTCCACCTGCCAATGCAAGAGACGAAAGAGACACGGGTTCAATCCCTGGGTCAGGAAGATCCTCCGGAGGAAGAGATGGCAACCCACTCCAGGACTCATGCCTGAAAAATCCCACAGACAGAGGAGCCTCATGGGCCACAGTTTGCAAGGAGTCAGACACAACCGAGCACACAGACCTGAATTAAGTAACGAAGACTTTGCATATGACAAAGGTAGCGTCACAGTGAGGGAGAGATGGATTATTCATTTAGTCATATTAAGGCAACTTAATAGCCATCTGGAAAAAAATAAATTGGAGCCTTATCTTTTACTTTACACCAAGTTAAATTCTAAGTGGATCAAATATTTAAATGTGAAAAGTGAAACTACAAAAGTTCTGGGGAAAACATATGGTAAAAATTCTTGATAACCTTGTAGTAAACCAGACTTTCCTAACTACAGTTGAAAATCCAGAAGCCATTGGAAATAGATTAATAAACTGAACTATGTAGAAATTTAAGATTTGAAAACTATGATCCAGAGAGGTTAAATATTTATTTTAAAAGGCTATAATAGTAGAATCAAGCTTGTGGGATGGTTACTAGGGTCAGTGAGAGGGTGAACGTAAGGTGCGAGGCAGACCAGCAGCGCCAGGTAAATAGTTAAATGGTCGTGAACTTGTGTTGCAATTCCCAATCTTGGTGGTAAATTAGTATGTTATTTAAGAGACATCCGCTTTAACCGACCTTTTCTTTGCAGAACCAGACGTCCTGGGTCCTTTCCAGCATGGCAGCTCTCTACTGGAGAGTCAAAGGCCAGGGGAAGAAGGCGATCGACTGCCTGCGCCAGGCCCTCCACCACGCGCCACACCAGATGAAGGTGCGTGGGGCTCCCAGGTGGGAGCGTCCATCCCTCAGTTGCTTCCTGCGCCCGCTGGTTTGTCCTGAGGTTTCATCAGCCTTCCTCTTGCTCAGCCTGTAAGGAAGCAGCAAGAGGCTAAGGGTGGGAAACCTCAACGACCCACCAGTGCTGCCACAGGCCTGAGTTACACTCGCCGTCGTGGCCTCCCCACCTCAGCAAGCGGGGCCGTCAGGGAAGGGCTTCAGCATGCCGGAAGAACACCATCCGAAACAGGCATGGCTGAGTCGTAAATGCAGCTCCAAGTGCGGCTCTGCCTCTCACCACCTTTGTGATTACTTTGTGACCTTAGGCAAGTTCTTAAACCTCTGTGACCTCATATAATGATGTGTCCTGTGGGTGTCCAGCAAGGACAAACATGGGTCTTTTTTTTCTGTTCTTCTGTATCTCCTGTAGAAGAACCCAGTGATATAGAGAAATGCAATATAGATCTCAATTTCTCAGGTTACACATCTAAAGGGGGCTTACCAGGTGGCACTAGTGGTAAAAACCTGCCTGCCAATGCAGGAGACACAGGAGACTTGGGTTCTATCCCTGGGCTGGGAAGATCCCCTGGAGGAGGGCATGACAGCCCACTCTAGTGTTCTTGCCTGGAGAATCCCATGGACAGAGGAGCCTGGCGGCCTACAGTCCAAAGGGTTGCAAAGAGTCGGACAGGACTGAAGCGACTGAGCACACATCTAAAGGGAATAAATACTTGTGATATTAGTAAATATTTGTGCTAATAATATTGTAACTTTTTCAGCCCATCATCCTGTGTCCTATACTTCTAGGCTACCACTAGGCTCCCCAACAGGAAGGGCCAAGACGCTGGATCAGGGGTCAGGGAATTTTTCTGTGAAGGGCCAAATAATACACATTTAGGCTCTGAGACCAGCCTGCCTCTTGCAGCCACTCAGTTCTGCCATGATAGCATGAAAACAGCCCCAGAAGTGCCTCGGGGAATGGGATTGATGAGGTCCAATAAAAAGTTACAGAGTTGGGCAGCAGGCTGGCCGTGGCCTGTGGCCACAGCGCGCCAGCCCTGCCTCAGGGCGCCGTGGTCCTTGCAGAGAACAGCTCAGCTCTGTGACAGTGAGCCTCAGTGTGGACCGTGGACAGAGTCGGGCCCCCAGCTGCTCCTTACAAGCTGCAGGGTGACCCGAAGCTGGCGCCACGATGGAGAGCAGCTGCCTCACTCAGCAGGTGGTTCACCCAGCTAGCATTTTTGTTTGTTTTTGAGATAAGACTCTCCCATAGAGAGAAGTGCACAGCTGGGCTGGCACACGCTCCTCCCCCCTCACAGACCCGCAGCAGACAAGCCCCCACATCGAGCTGCACGACTGTCCTTCGCCAGGGAACACTGACCATATTGCCTACGGCCACCACAGCCGAGAGTGAACGCCCAGAAACCAACGTTCTTCCCTTCTCTCCCAGGACGTGCCCCTCATCAGCCTGGCCAACATCCTGCACAACGCCAAGCTCTGGAATGACGCCGTCATTGTGGCCACCATGGCGGTGGAGATCGCGCCACACTTCGCCGTCAACCACTTCACACTGGGCAACGTATACGTGGCGATGGTGAGGCTGGCCTGGGAGCGGGGTGAACCCCCTCTGCTGCCGTCTGTCAGGGCCACGTCTCTAGTTCCAGACCCCTGACTCTGTCAGTGTCCCCTGGTTTCCTGGAAGCTTTGTGTCTAAAGTTGTAGCTCTCCACCACAGGTATAATTCATGGTAGGGGGTTTGTAAGTCTTTAAAAGAACACAGTAAACTCACCCAAGTATCTGCAACTGTGTAGTTCCTCACCATGAATTTAACAGGCCCATTTACCTGCCCTCTTCTGCAGACTGCACCGCTCCCTAACACTCCAAGTGGACACACACTCGGGCTCGCTTACTGCCAGGCTGGGCCAGGTCCCCAGGGTTGCTCTCACGGTGCCCTGTGCAGATCTCTCTTGTTGTCTTTTCACCTTGTTTTATAATTTTTGTGTTGAGCAGTAGTCTCTCCCACCAGACCAGGAGCTCCTTAGGAAAGAAACTCCTCTTCATCTCCCCATTCCTGGAACTTCACAGGGTTTGGCACATAGTAGGTGCTCACCAAAGGTTTAATGAATGGCGGAATGCCACTAGTTCCCTGGGATACCATTTATAGCCAAAATGGCAAAGCCATCATCCAGAACCCTGTTGGGTCAGAAGGAGGACCAGTTTCAGAACTCAAAAGTCCCAGGGGTCCCCCAGAAGCTGTCATAGCTGAATCTAGAAAATGAGAGTCATGCCATCCACTTTCATCTAAAGTTTAGGGTCCCACATGAGGCTCTTTCCAAGGTGCTCTTGATAAAGGCTAATGTAACGAGCAGCTTCAGGCTCCAAGTTGTGTGTGTCATCCTTGACTTCAAAGGCAAGAAATTTAATTTGGCCAGGTAGGTCTTGCTGAATGTGCAGATTTCCCTCTCTGCTTCTTAAAATTGAAGAATCTATTTTCGTCCCCAGTAAATGCAAAATTTGCTGCTATGAATGAGAAATTCTGCCTCTCATTTGGCTGGAAGGAGTCATTTAAGCGGTAGATTCGGGCTCTTCTTCGGGAGTATTAGTCTAAGTAAAAGATGAACGCCTTCCATGTGGCAGTGATCATTTCCAAACTGGGTTCATATTTTCAAGTGTTAGGGAGAATAAGAAACTGCTTAAAAATTTACAAGTCTAATTGAGGTACCTGACTTGACTTCCTTCTTTCCAGTTACAGTAGAAAATTCAAGCAGATGCAAAATCAGCTTTTGCCAGACATAGTTCTAGTGGTTTCCGTGAGGATTACAGGAAGGGATTCCACACAGCACCTGGCTCTGCGCCTGGCACGCGGCAGGGCGCAACGACAGCGGTTCTTACTGTCACTCCTGTCGTTGGACCAGATCTCTGGAGAGCTGGTCTGCCCTTTGCCTCTGGCTCCCGGGCTGTGCCATAGTTTTCTTTGTAATCTGTGACCTCGGGGATGGAGGTGGTTGTCCCCTCCACCACAGAGATTTAGATGCACTGAGAAAATACTGCAGGACCATCACTGCCACAGACACGCTCTCCAGGAAAAAAGACGTCACCACCTCTGCTGAGTCTGGTGGTCATACCCCTCTCACTCTGCCCCTCCGCCCCTCACAGGAAGAGTTCGAGAAAGCACTGGTGTGGTACGAGTCGACCCTGAAGCTGCAGCCCGAGTTTGTCCCCGCCAAGAACCGAATCCAGACCATCCAGTGTCACCTGATGCTGAAGAAGGGCCGGCGCTCTCCCTAGCTCATCCCTCCCCTCTCTCCCGTCTCTCTTCTCACGCTCTTCAAAAAATGAATAAGAAACCAGTCATTGTCAGTATCTGCTTTTAATGATGTGTGTGAAAATAACTGAATAAGACATATAACAGGACTTTTACATTTGTGGGAATTGTTTTGTTTTTGTTTGTAAGTTCCTTCTTTCCCCCAGCCAACCTCAGAAACGTAAATTTGTTAAAAGGAAAATGCAGCTTAAAGATACCATGTAAATACTGAGCCAAGACATTTCTGGAGCGTGCTCTGTCTCCAAGACCTCGATGCCTTTAGGGCTTTTCTCAGTGGTCCAGCCAGCTTCTTCCGCTCCGGCGGAGAACGAAGCCACATGGCACCTTCTCTGCTTCTCGTCACAGCCTCTGTCGTCCATGGAAATGTGGAAATGCAGAAGCCCGCCCGGTGCCCGTCAGCAAGAAGCACTGTCCCGCGCTCTTCCCACTAGCTCTCTACGCTGCCCCCGGCCTTGTCCGTTCCATGCTGCTACGTTACAAACTCTCAGAGGTAGTTTGCGGGGGAGGGGGGAGGAAGGGGAAATGATTTTAAAAACAAAATATTTACAACAACAGAAACCCTTAGGATCACCTGACCTTTGTGCTGTTATTTATGTTGGGGAGGGAGGGGGGCTGAGAAGGGGAAATCAGCAGTGTACAACATCGCTATCATTTGTACTTTAAATTGCAGATCACAAGGAAACCAATACGTTGACATCCTATATAACAGGTTTATATATAGAATATGTATATTTGAAGCCCTCAGCAGACTGAGTCTGTGTTTTACTAATTCTTTGTTCACTGTGTTACCCATCTTGGAATGAGGCGTGAGTGTTGGCTCCCTCTCCCCTCAGGAGAGTGGGGAGCCAAGGCTGAGTGTTTCCTTGCAATGCTCATACCTCTGGTCCTAGGAGAGTCGGAAACTCCAGGCATTTGGGAATCTTCAAGGGCACATACTGAGGACAAAAATAAAAGTCGTTTATGAACAAAACAGGTCTGTGGCGTGGTTTTTCTTTAGAATCAGGCTCATCCAGGCAGCTCTGAAGCCTCACTGTAACCCTGGGTTGGATCCTCTCACATCCTAGGTTGTCTTTTTGTCTTTTTCCACAACATAAAGCGAGGGGAGAAATAGTCCATCACTAGGTTTTATGATTGATGATCTTACACGATACATTTGACCACGAAAGACGTACAATCAGCAGATGTTCAGAGTTGGTCATTGACCTTCCAGGGAAAAGAAGAAGAACCTAAACCACAAAGTCACATCCCCTGCGGTGAGCACTGATCCTAACATTCTTCCAGGTAAGCTTGATGGAGAAACTTGGTGAGAGTCATACCAGTGTGAAATTGAGCATTCCTTTTGGGACAGGACTCTGCCGAACACGGGGTTCCCTAGAACAGCTATCAGACACCAATCATCTCAAATACTGGGTCACTGAACCCAGAGCATTTGGTTCTAGCACAGACTGTAATTTCTTAAAAGCAGGTGAGCAATCAGACATGCCTGTCCACTCTGTCTGTCTTTTGTGCAGCTAGAGTCCAGCTGATTTCAAGCAGTTTTATCAGATGTATTTTGAGAAGAGGCTCACTTTGTTGCTAGATAAAGTGAAGCTCTTTTCCCTCAGAGTATCTTTGCCTGCGTCTGAATATATCCCTTGCTTCCCCAACTCTCGGCAATGTGGTATTTAGTTTTTCCTAAAACCTGCAACTACTGGTTTTGTTTCTGTTTTTTTTTAGTTTACATATATACAGTGAAATTCATTCTGTGGTGTACAGTTCTGTGACTTTTTTTATTTGTGTTTTTTTTCCCTGGCACCATGCAGCATCTGGGATCTTAGTTCCTTGACCGGTAATTGAACCCGCACCTCCTTGCATTGGAAGCACAGAGTCTTAACCACTGGACTGCCAGGGAAGTCCTTTGTGAGTTTTGACAGATGCGTAGAGTCATGCAGCCACCACAACAATCAGGATACAAAACTGTGATCAGCTCCAAAAGACTGTCTCACTCTGCCCCTTTGTCGTCAAACACCATCCTAAACCCTCGGCAACCGCTGATCCATTGTTCCTGTCTCCCACATGGTAAAGTCAGACTCCAAAGGCTATGTACTCTATAATTCTGTGTACGTGACATTATGGAACAGCAAAGGTAGATGACTTGAGGCTGAAGTATGCTTTTCAAGTTTTAAAACACAAGAGACTAGTGTGGCTGAAGAGGTGTGAGCAAGAGGGAAAATAATAGGAGATGAAGCCAGAGAAGTGAGACAGATGTATAGTTTTTTGTGGGCTTGGTTTATTTCTGTTGCAGGGCTTTATATGTCATTGCAGAGTCACTGGTTTTAAGCAGAGGAATAAAACGATCTGACCTGTTTTAACAGGAGTCAGGATTATTCTAGGATTTTTTTTCACCTGAGTAATTAGAATGAGGAAGCTATTGTTAACTCAGATGGGAAGAGCAAAGTTAGGAATTTGGGGGAGAAGATAAGGAATTCAGTTTGGTACAGATCATGCGAAGATAACTGTGTAGCTCGTTGGATGAACTAGGGTTAATAGAGGATATCCATGCTGGAGATACAAATTTGGAGGTCACAGCCATGGGAATAGTATTTGAAACCATGTGACTGAGGTCACAAAGGACATGAGGGAACAGATGAGAATACAGAACAGAACTGGGGGGTTCCAGTGTTACGGGGTCACACAGTTTACGTGCCCAACAATTTATTCCTGATGTACAAGAAACAACAGAGCGATTTGAAAAGGATGCTGAACATGTTCAAGTAGTTAAAAGACTAGCTTCCACATAAAGTATGAGCAGGTTGTGTGTCTCTGACTCTGTGGCCCCATGGACTGTATGTAGCCTGCCAGACTCCTCTGTCAAAAAGAACCACAGAACAATCCTTTAAGTGAAAAATACTATTGAAATAAACATCTAAATGAATGGGTTAAACAGACTAAACACAGCTGAAGAGAAAGTCAATGAACTGTAGGACAGAAGGAAAGGAAATCTACCAAGGTGAAAAACGGGAATAAAACTTTCCTCAGGTATTTGTATTAAATGCTCTCATAGGGCAAACTCCTCACTTTTCAGCCTAGGGCTCACTTTCTTAAGCAGTCAAGCTTTTTAATCAGGGTCCAGAAACAGAATACAACTCTTAATTTATTTCTAGAATTGGAAAAAGATTTAGTGGCAGGATTGAAGACCTCTGCTAATAAGGACTAATGTCTGTCGTGTACTGTGTTCCTGTCCTCCTTTAAAGTACTTTATGTGGATCAGGAGCAGTGGGTGGCCGGGAAGGATTGAGAGGCCAGACAGTAACCTCTCCAGGTTAAGTGAGAACAGCTTCACTTGGCCCCTGGAGCTGTCTGATTTACTCTTCCTTCGCCCTTTTGATTTCCAGTGTCCTCTCCTTGATAATGCTGTTGCTTCTCTAGGGGTATTGCTGGGTTTGTCCACCATTATTAATTCGGTAGTTTATGAACTTCTTTAAAATTAACAAACTGTTTGGTGTCAGGCCCATGTGTTACGAGTCAGGAGTATAGAGATTTTATTAGACAGAGCTGAGCATCTGACCCGAGACAAACTACATAGTCAATAGACCCAAAAATTCCAAAGCAATCCTAAGGGGAAAGAACAAGGCTGGAAGCATTACTCTCGACACTACAAAGCTACAGCAATCAAAACAGCGTGGTACTGGCACGGAAACAGACAGGGATCAATGGAACAGAAAAGAGAGCCCAGAAGTAACCCTCCACACCTCCAGTCAATCTTCAGCAAAGGAGGCAAGAATACAGAACGGAGAAAAGACAGTCTCTTTAGCGAGTGGTGTTGGGAAGGCTGGCCAGCCACATGTGAATCAGTGAAGTCAGAACACAGCTGCACACCATAGACAAAAAGCCTCAAAATGCTTAAATATAAGACATGACACCATTAAACTGGAAGAGAGCCTAGACAAAACATCCTCTGACATAAATTGTAGCTATGTTTTCTTAGGTCAGTCTCCCAAGACAACAGAAATATAAGCAAAAATAAGCAAATGGGACCTAATCAAACCTATAAGTTTTGCATGCCAAAGGAAACCATAAATGAAATGAAAATCTAGGGGCCAGGAGAGAGTATCTGCAAATGATGTGACCAACAGCGGCTTAATTTCCCAAAACATACAAACCGCTCATAGAACTTAATAACAACAACAAAACCTCAATCAAAAAATGGACAGAAGACATAAATAACAAGTTCCCAAAAGAAGATATACAGCTGGCCAATAGGCAGATGAAAAGATGCTCAAAATCACTAATTATTAGAGAAATGCAAGTTAAAACTACAATGAGGTATCACTTCACACTGGTCAGAATGGTCATTGTTACAAAGTTTACCAATAATAAATGAGAGGGTGTTAAGGGAACCCTCCTACACTGTCAGTGGGAATGTAAATTGATACAGCCACTATGAAGATAGTCTGGGGGTTCCTTAAAAAACTAAAAATCGAGTTACCATATGATCCAGCAATTCCACTCCTGGGCATGTATCCAGAGAAAACCATAATTTGGAAAGATAGATGTGCCCCAGTGTTCATGACAGCATTATTTACAATAGCAAAGACATGGAAGCAATCTAAATGTCCATCAACAGATGAATGGATAAAGAAGTGATACATATATACAGTGGAATATTACTCAGCCCCCCAAAATGAGCAAAATAATGCCATTTGCTGCCATATGAATGGACATAGAGATTATCATACTAAGTAAAGTTAGAGAAAGATAAATATCATATGATATTGCTAATATGTGGAATTTTTTTAAAGGTACAAATGAACTTCTTTTACAAAACAAACAGATTCACAGACATAGGAAGCAAACTTACGGTTACCAAAAGGGAAAGAGGGGGAAGGGATAAGTAAGAAGTTGGGATTAGTAGATATAAACTACTATATATAAAATAGATTAAAAAGCCATCCTATATAGCACAGGAAACTATATTCAGTGT